TCCCTCCCCAGCTGGCCAACCTCCCGCGTCCCTCCCTGACCCCCATCATGCACCAGTGGGCTCCCTCGGCCTGGCCTGTGCCCTCTTGCAATCCGAACTGAGGGAACTCCCCTCCCCACCACCCCAGAGTGCACGAATTTCATGCACCGGGCCTCTAGTATTCTATAAAATCAGAGCTTCTGGCTGTATTCTGTTAGACAGTGCACATTAGCTAACAGAAGGATAGATAACCCATCTTATTTATAGTCTGGTATATCGTATTTCACAATATTTGGGAGGAGGATAACAAGTATAATCCTTACAGTAGAAATTTCAAAGCAAACCCACAAGTGCTAGGGTTAGTGAGCCTGATAGGAAGTAGAATGAAGACTGCCTCAAAAGGTCAGATTATTAACATTCCTGGATTACTTCTCAAGGCAATGAGGCCAAACACTCTTGAGAGCGGAGGTTTCGTGTTGAAAAGGAAAAATGTGAGCTAGTCGGCGTGTCAGGGAAAAGCCTGCAGGAAGTAAGGAAGCCAATCCCTTCTCATCGGAACATGCATAAACCGATCATTAAGAATTGGCTGGAATCCATTTTTAATATTAAAGTCTCAAAGCGAAGCTGGTATGGTAGAGATGCTAGCAATTAAATGACTTCATCACTAAAATTCATATTAAATCAAATTAAAAGCAGTTACATCAGAATGGCCATTTACTTTATTCCCCTGAAAATCATCCCTGAGCAGGTCCTCTCTACAATATGCCCTGAATATCGTTCCCATAGGCCCTGAAATGTGTAGGAAGATATTCAAGTATTGTTCATCTTTCAAAGGTAGTCTTTGACTTTTTTATTTTCTTTTTTTAAAATATGTACTTTTATTGGTTTCAGAGAGGAAAGGAGAGGGAGAGAGAGAGAAAGAAACATCAATGTTGAGAGAGAATCATTGATTGGCTGCCTCCTGCACACCCCCTACTGGGGATGGAGCCCACAACCTGGGCATGTGCCCTTGACCGGAATTGAACCTGGTCACAATCGGACCTTCAGGCCGCAGGCCAATGCTCTATCTGCTCAGCCAAACCAGCCATGGCGACATTTTTATTTTCATAAAAATACCATACCTTATCTTCTTAACATACCACTGCTGAGTGCATAGTGTAAAAAAACCATTAGTCAAACTAACTTGCTGTGGTTTTGATATCCTTAAGTAGCAAAGGAACGTAGATAAGACTACTCTCCCTATCAGATTGTAAGGAAAAGTCCTTCGAAATTCATATGCCACCTGCTTCCTTCTCTAAGAAGGCTCTGGCTGGGTAGTGAGGAGTGGACTAGTTAGTGTGGAGGATGAAAATCATTTTTAAAATGGATATTGATGGTTTAAAAGTACTTACATTTTAATGATCACATCCTAACCAGTGAAAATATATTGTACTAGGGTTCCTAGGCCTGGCCGGCGATCTGGGCTGATCTGCAGGGCAACCGACAGGGTGATTGCCCCCCCCCCCCTGCTAGCACCCACCATGGCTGGCCTGGGGCCTGCTGGGGGCAGCTCCTGCCTTGAGCATCTGCCCCCATAGTGGTCAGTGTGCATCATAGCGACCGGTCGTTCCGCCATTCGGTCAATTTGCATATTAGGCTTTTATTATATAGGATAGTATTTATTTGCACTCTTTCAATATAAACCATTCCATAGTTGATCAACAAAAGTTCATCAGACGTTCCTTATTTGTTTAAAAGAAAAACATCTATACCTGTTTTTCAACCATAATTAATATGAAAGGGTAATTTTCTCCCCCTAAACACTATAAGGCAATTGTGATCTCATTGATCAACCTAAAAAGCAAACAAAACAAAAACCACCAGATCATTCAAGTTCTATTGTGACAGCCAAGCTAAAAACCAACCACCCAAAACGCAAGCACCTGGGTGCAGTTTCTTTATGATAGCAATAAGCAGGGGTTTTAAAAATTATTATTATATGCCCATATGATTTCTCCTTCCTGATATTAATAGTACGTGTGAAATAGTCTCTGTAAGTAATTTCTGGGCTGGAAAAAGAAAGAACCTCTAATGCAAGTATTGAGACCTTCCACAATGAAAACAAGATATCATCGCTTTGCGTGACCTTTTCTAAGTATGGAATGCAGCATTTTACACAATAGTTTTTTGGTTCATGCTTCAGTTACGGGCCTTCATGGTGCAAATAAGTAATACAATTTGTATTGTAATCCATCCCTACAAATAAGGAATCTCACGCACATAGGACATGCCGGCTGATTGCTGTTGGCTGAACTTAGTCATGATCTGTTCTGGGTGCCCAGCAAACTCTACTTGTGACAAGCAATTTCTCCCGCGGCCCATCAGGTACAGTGGGGCCTTGACTTACGAGTGTCCCGACTAACGAGTTTTTCGAGATACGAGCCGTCTCTCGGCCGATTTTTTGCTTTGAGTTGCGAGCTAAAATTCGG